AGTGGCGACTCTGAATAAATAAATAAATCCCGTTTCGATTGTCCTTTAATTGGAAAAAACTCCTTTCCGCGCCCTTTTAAGGTGGCGCGGGCGAAAATGGAGGTGTGACATAAGGCAATTATTTTAATATGCTTGCAATAAAATCCCATTACATATAAGGTAAATCATTTAACTTCTTGAATAAAAAGTCTTTAATATATAGTACAAATTTGACACTCTGTCTTATTTATATTTCTACTCTAGGTATATTAAAAAAACACTGGCTTCCAATTGCCTTAAACAATCATAAAAAATCATTACGTTTTGCCCCAAATTTAGACTTTGTGAACACCATGTGCTGCTTTATGTTAAAAAACAAAAAAGGTGGCTAGGTTGTGTGGGAGATGGGAGTTTAATTATATAAACAAATATTCCCTCTATTGACATTATTTATAATATTTTTTTTTTAATTTTCAAGAATTTAAGTTCATTAAATTATTCATACTTTAATTATATAAGTTCTTATATATTGTTAGTGCATTAAATTTAAACTAAAAAAGTAGAACCCAAAAGAGTAAGATGAATTAAAAACATATGTACTTCAATTAGGATTAAAACTACGACACCAACAGGCCTAGTATAATCTTACAAGTAGGATTTGGGGAAGGTAATGTGTATGCAGATCTTACCCACATTCAAAAAGGCAGAGAGGATGTTTCCGGTAGACCCTCGGCTTAGGAAAGATAAAAGGAAGGGCAACAACAAACACACCAATTAGAAAACCGAAGCACAAATACAAAAATATAAAACTAAAACCGAGTACTTCAATTAAAAAACCGGAACAAAAGCAACGACAAGTAATCACAGAAATTAAGGAATACGAAAATACACAAATAACACTAACTCATGCACTAAAGATAAGGACCCGATTAGGATTAAAACTAAAAATATATTTCAAAATCCTCTTCCCTATAATAACACCCAAGGATGTAGCAAGAGTAGGACCAATCTAAAACAACTTGTGCATAAATTAGGGATAGGACTAAAAGTATACATCAAATTCTCTTCTCTAAATATAGCACCTATGAATGTAGCTAAAGTAGGGCCAATCTAAAATAACATAGGCATAAAACTAAAAGTAAACTTCAAACATTTCTTCTCCAATAAATGTAGTATGGTTAGTTTTCAAATCCAGAGTAGAAAAAAGGCAAGCGATTTCTTTCGATCTACTTAAATTAATCCTTGAGGTGTATTAAAGAGATAGTAAATACTCAATAATATACATTAGATGTCCCTATAACATTTTTATATAATAACCATTTAATATAAAAGTTAAGTTTTTTATCGTAATCGATTTTTTTATATTATGTTATAATATATGTCATCTATAATAGAACTTTAGTATGGTATTTAAAAAGAATATCGGAATAAACACGACTGTTTTAGAGTGATTTGACTGTAATTAATATATGCGCAAATAAATGCAAATAAATCCAAACGCCACTAATATTATCATCTCTAAATAAGCGTTGTCCTAAAGTATGAGTTGGAATTGGAAGAAAAAAAAAAAGGAAAGAAGGGAAAGCAATATTGACTAGAAGGTGAGATATAGTTCGAATTGAAGTTAGACTTACGTGTGTGCAAGAAAAATTAAAAAGTCAAATGTACGAAAAAAATCAAGTTGTCATTTGACTTTATTTGATTTTATTAAATCTACGAAAAACGATTATATTATGTTTATTTGATATTGAAAAAAAGAAGTTGAATCGAAACGAGTCAAACTTAACAATTGTTTAAATAATATAAAAAGGTATAATATCGTAACGTAACATATTAAAGACTTCTAGACTGGTAAGCTTCTAATGTACACATGAGACATTAGACAAATCTCATGTTAAAAAAGGAGAGAAAAGTGAAATGTTAATAAAAAGGCATAACGCTGGTACACATGATACACAAAGTTCATGGTGATATACACCCAATATTCACGTGAATTCAATTTAAAAAAAAAATACGAAAATAATAATAATATAATTATTTTTAAAAAAAAATAATAAGCGATAAAATATATATTTGACAAATGATATAATTTTTGGCAAGATATGTAACTTGCCAAAAACAAAACTAGCATCCACTGCACTATATATTAAACCTCCAATTTTGACAATGAAAAGAACAAACAAAAAACACATACCTTCCTCATAGTACAAGTCTTCAACTTGTAGAGCTTTGCAAAAATCTTTCCAAAATTCCCTTTGCTCTTTTCTTCAACGCCCATTTTCAAAATCATAACCCACATTTGTATGATCCGAATCACAAAATGATACCAAGAAAGAACAACATGGGTCGGGTTTCCCCATTGTTACTGGTGTTACTCGCATTAGGTTTCTTCTTTGCAACGTACAATTTAGTCACAATGATAATTCACAACAGGGTCGGTAGAAGTAACAGTACTGAAGAGTTCGACCCGGTTCCTAAATCGGGTCTGTCGGGTTTAAAAGCTAGCGGGCGGAAATTCCACGTGGCATTGACGGCGACCGACGCGCCGTACAGTAAGTGGCAGTGTAGGATCATGTATTATTGGTATAAGAAAATGAAGGATCGGGCTGGATCAGATATGGGTGGGTTTACCCGGGTTTTGCATTCGGGTAAACCTGACAATTTGATGGAGGAGATTCCTACTTTTGTTGTTGATCCCCTTCCTGAAGGATTGGATCGGGTCAGTATATGTTTTTTTTGCAGTGAATTTAAGAACTATTTGTTCTTTTTGTGTGTTCAATTTTGTATTTTTTTTGGATGAAAAAATACAAAAAAATGCTTAAAGTTTGATAAGATTTAAGTTGCATACACTGACATTCACCGAATTTTAACATGTGATGGTAGGTTTAATTACCATACTTTCCAGTATACCAATTAATGTTTATCGAGATTTTTACCGGTAATTTCTTAATAAATGACTTGATTGTGTAAATATACACTGCGTAGAACTTAACCTCTTGATAGGATGCAAGTCATTTACACTGACTATGTAACCCTTTTTTTTACAGTGAATTTTAACCTGTGATAGTAGTTCAGTTACCACTTTTTCCAGTGTATTGTATACTGATCAATGCTTATCGAGAGATTAACTATATTACCTAATAAGTGACCTGATTATGTAAATAAATTTTAGCACCGTTAGTGCATAGAGCTTAAACATATTTTGGTATACCCTTTTCGTTGCTTGGGGTTTTCTTGGAGATGGTTAATTTGAGGCTTTGAGGAAGTGAGTTTCAGTTGCTTATGCGAAGGATTAGTTTTGTTGGGTTTTGAGTATTGTGAAAAAATAGGATTGTTAGTTTGGAACTTTGGCATTTTGTATGCGGTATGCCCATTGAAAACATCAGTTAACTCCATATACAATTAAAATATTTATTTTACTCTGTATACCTACTTTATAAAATTATTTTACCATGTATACCGATTGTATTCTAAAAGTATAATACTGTATATTCCAAATTAGAATATTGTGATATATTTAATTTGGATATTGTATTCCAAATTAGAATATTGTAGCATGTTTAGTTTGAATATTGTATTCCAAATTAAAAATTATTGTATATTTACATTTGATACTATATTCCAAATTAAAACATTGTAGCATATTTGGTTTGGATACTGTATTCCAAATTAGAATAGTGTAGTATGTTTTGTTAGAATATTATGGTATGTTAAGTTTGGATATTGTATTCTTCATTAAAATATTAGGGTAAGCTAGGTTTGGATTTTTCAAATTAGAATATTGTGGTATTTTATTTGAATAATATATTCCAAATTAAAACATTAGGTCTGTTTAGTTAGAATATTGTATTCCAAATTAGTATATATGGTAAATTAGGTTTGGATTGTATTCCAAAGTAGAATGTCGTGATATGTTTTAGAATATATGGAGGTATAGCGTGTAATATTTTTGGGATATTTGATGTAATTTCAAAACTTAGGTATATCATGAAAGTGAGTTTTATAAACGGGTATATCATGTAACTTCCCTTTGTCCTATGGTATGGAATTTGCACACCCTTCACCCAATAGTGTGGCCTTTTGGTCAATGAAGTGGGAGGAGAACCATGAAGTATCATATTCCAATTCCAGCAGAGGCAAAAACAAGTACTTCTTCCCACCTGCCTAAGCTTTGATGGGCAGAGTTACCGGATACGTGTGCTGGTGGAGGTTTAAGGTGCACGCAGCTGGCCGAGACACTATCATCGTCACAAAAAATGGAAGATATGCAAGATGTTTGCACACCCTTTTAAGTTTTATTTACGAATTTAGTGGGGTATAGTGGTTGAGAGTCTGTGAAAGTTAGTTTTAGTTTCTCATGTTAAAAATTAGTTCTTTCCTAGGGCTCAAAGTATATTTGATCTTTGGGGAAACTTTAGTCAATGACATGGCTTTGGCTGTTCAAAATTTCTTTGTTCAAATGATTTGGTTAACACAAGTAGTTTAGAAGAGGATCCTCATCCAAAGTTTTACAAACGGAGCAACGCGCGGTTATTTTCTGTTTGAAAACCATGGGGAGCCTCGAGTAGTTTACTGGAAATTAAGTTATCGTGACAATGTCTTCAATTTCTGCGAAAGCTTTAGTCCTGTGTTTAATTACTTGAGTTACTTCACTAGCAGCAAAATATTTTCTCATCCTAACTTGTAATTTTCCAATTTTTTTCCATTTTGTCTCCAGGGTTATATTGTCCTTAACAGACCCTGGGCTTTTGTTCAATGGCTAGAAAAGGCACCAATCGAAGAAGAGTAAGTCACTACTCTGGATAATGTATTCCAGTTCCTCTTGTAAGCATATGGTCTGAACAGTACAATATGCTATGACTGATGCAGATACATTCTAATGGCAGAGCCCGACCATGTATTTGCAAATCCTTTGCCAAACTTGGCTCTTGGAGATCACCCAGCTGCATTCCCCTTTTTCTACATAAAACCATCTGAACATGAGAAAATTATACGAAAATATTATCCAGAGGAGCTGGGCCCAGTGACTAATGTTGATCCAATTGGAAACTCTCCAGTAATAATTAAAAAGGTTAGCTGTAATATGCTGAACCAAACAGTATTCTTTTTGTTGCTGGAAAATACCTTTAAGTAACGCGCCTGCTGAATGGCATTAAGTATACCATATGCTATCTGATGACGATGCCGTTTGATCTCATTATTCTGTCTAGTTCTTTTGGGTGGTTATTTTTCTCTGGTTCATGTAATCATTTTTTTGTTTTCTGTGTTTTTCTGATTGTTGCAGTCCATTTTGGAGAAAATTGCTCCCACATGGATGAATGTTTCTTTGAGGATGAAAGATGATCCAGAAACCGACAAGGCATTTGGCTGGGTTCTAGAAATGTGTGTGATGTTTATGTTTCTCATATCTGTTGATGCTCATAGTAGATAATATATTTGGTCACTAACAAAATCTCAAATTTGGTTTGTATTACTATTTCCTCGTTCCAGGTATGGCTATGCTGTGGCGTCCGCTTTACATGGTGTCCGCCACATTCTTCGTAAGGACTTCATGCTACAGGTCTACAAGAGCTAAATGAAACTATCTTTTTTTCATTACGTTATGCTGAACTAATCCCTGGCTAACAAACATCATTCACTTTCAGCCCCCATGGGATCTGGAAGTTGGCAAGCGGTTCATCATTCATTATACCTATGGGTGTGATTATAATATGAAGGTAAATTAATCACTTCCACATATTCCTTTTTGGCAAACACAGTCGCTTGGCATACATTGTACAACAAGCATTGTTCTGGTGTTGGTCATTTAATCCTTTTGATGATTAAACAGGGAGAGTTGACATATGGAAAGATTGGTGAATGGAGATTTGATAAAAGATCTTACCTTCGCGGTCCTCCACCAAAGAATCTCACTTTGCCCCCTCCAGGGGTTCCCGAAAGTGTGGTATGTTTTAAACCTTCTGTTCACAGCTTTAAAGTATGTTGGAGAACTATTAACTGAAAAAAGTGCTTGGGAATCGATCGAATTGCATTTTGTGGACTTAAAAAGTGCCTGGAGAAATATTGTCCCGTTGCATTTGTTTTGCATACTTCTGTCTGATTGACTTCCTTTTTTGATGCGGTCAAAAGGTACTAGCTTATGTTATGGCTTCCTAGCTTTGTTTACCTCATATGGTCATTGCTATATATTTTTCAAAATCTAATCCTCTTGTATTCCCGATGTTGTTCTCATATTTTACTGCCATTGATAAGACTGCTAAATATATATCCCTACGGCTCTACCAATCTGCTTCATTTAGAACCTGACATGTCTATCAAATCCTCATGGCTCGTTAGACCCAAAGCGTGTCAGTTTTTTTCTCATTTTTCCTTTACGAATGGGCGTGCCGGTGAACGATTGAACATTTGATATGAAGGCAATTAAAGCTCAGAGTAACGGTTGATGAAAGCACGTATGCATGTTATATCACTGCACGCGTAGATCACATGTCCTGCATGTAATATCGGAAAAGAAAAGATGCATGTAGGTTCTTATCACTGCTCGTGTCCTTTTCTTTTTGCAGGTAAGATTAGTGAAGATGGTTAATGAAGCTACTGCTAATATCCCTGGATGGGAAACAGAGTGAGAGCGAGTTAGATCCGATATATGTACTTACCTATATTTATACTTTGCTGATTTTGTGAAGGCCAATGCATGTAAAGGGTGCCCAATTTTGTCAGGCTTCAAGATGGATAATCTTTAGAGCAATATATGATTTTAACAAGTAAAATAGACATGGTGCCATACTAGATAAGTTCTGTCATTAGATATTCTTCTTTCTTTCTCCATGGCACTTATGGGCTAAACTATAGAGAGTATTCTTTTTGTAAAATTCTGTTGCTGAAATGTCTTTATGTGTAACAGGAGATGTGATGAGCTAAATGAGGGCTCAAAAAGTTTCTTTTGACCTACTCTCAAAAATGTTAATTACTATTCAAGAAAACTTGAGTTTCTTTTGCTGAAGTTGATGAATTGCCTTGTATGTTCTTTAACAAGGCAATATCTGTAGTTGTATTACAACAACAACGGTAAAATTTCACAAGCAAGGTCGGGAAGGTCGGGAGAGGGTAGTGTGTATGCAAACTTTACCCCTATTTTGGGGACAAAAACAGACAATAGATAAGTAGCAACAATAAAAAGTAGAAAAATAATAACAATATCGTAAGAACCCGAAAATAGATGGAAAAGTAATAACAATAACCAGTAATAAAAGCTCGATACTATGAAAAAAAAGGGAAAATAGTGCGAACGCTACATTAATGGCTAGCAGTCTAAATCAAAACACTATCAGACTAGCCTCACATCCGGTACGAAGTAGAAAAACGCTCAACTACCCCATAACCTTCAACCTTAGTGCTCGACGTTCACACCTTCCTATCAAGGGCAATGTCCTTAGAAATCTGAAGTCACACTATGTCTTGCATGATTGTGAGCACGTGATTTTTACCCTATATGAATTACTCCCATAAATTAAAAATAAAATAATTTCTTTCAGTGTTTGCAATTTTGTGAATTTTCGTGGCATTTTCTGATAATTGTTCGCATTTTTGTTTATGCATTTTAATTAGTGGAAAAAATACAAAGATATATGTTGCATTTGCATTTAGGGTTTGCCTTTGCATTTTTAAGAATTAATTAGTAATTAAGTTATTTTATGTAAAAGGAAATTACAAAATAGTTTAATTTGCATTTTTATTCTAAACTTTAATTTGGAGTAGTTTTCCTTTTAATTGGTTGGTTAATTAATTTTGATAATTATCATTTAGGTTTAATTAGTGTTTTTTTAGGTGAGTTAGGTTCTAGGAATTAATTTGGATTTTTATTTAATCTTGAAAAAAAAATAAAGAGAACTTTTGGAAAAATTGAAAAGAAGTGAAAATAAAAGAAGAGCAATATCAATTGGACCCATCTCCAATTTTTTCTGTCCAAGCCCAATGTTACTTTGTCCAATACCCGCCCAAATACCCCAGAACCGGTCCAGTTCTGCATAACCCGGTCCGTTCTCCACACCTCCCAACCAAACGACCCCGTTTATGTTATAACTCATCTGAGCCGTCGAGGTTGGCTCGATCCAACGGCTGGGAAGTGATTTGTTTTTTTACATATAAGTGTCGGATTAAGCCCTCCCCCCATCTCTCATCTCTCCCAATTCAACCCTTCGGAAACCCCTTATGAAACCCTAGCCTCCCCTCTTTCCCCTACCCAGAAACCCGGCGGCACCACCTCATTTCACCCTCAAAATCACACTAAACAACCACCTCCCTCTCCTCTTTCCAAATCTCCATTCAGTTTCCATCGAACGTTGTCTAAGCGTCTCGAATAGTAGATCAGAGATTGAACCGCAAAATCCCTAAAGTTTCAGTTCAAGGTTTCACTGAAGATTTTAGGCCTAAACAGATTTTATTCGTGTGTCTTTGATATAAAAACACATGATTAATTTTGGATTGGGCCGAAAATCAAAGATTTGAAGGCTGACTCCCATCCCCATTGTCCAAATCTTTTTAGGTATTATTTTTCTCTATCTCTTTTTCAGTTATCTTTCTGTTCTACTCCTTTGTTTCTTCTTATATTCTCTTTTTTTCGTTTGATTCCTTTGTATTCGTTCAATGGTCAATTGTCCTTGCATGACATTGTTTATCAATATTGTTATTTTGTTGCTGTTAATTAGTATAGTTCCATTTTTTCTTTTTGATTTTGAATTAAGTCTCCCGTGTTTCCTCTTTTGGGTAATTTTAGGCTAATTTTTAAATTGGTGAACCATGTTTGGACTCACAAAGATTGACTAGCCCGGGAATGAACTGAATTGGGTTTAGTTGGGCCCATTAACTTGGGTCAATCGGACCCAAGTTCTGTTTGGCTAGAAAGGTAATAAACAGGGGTTTTAAAAGGGTAATTTTAGCAATTGGGGAAGAGAATCTTGAGTAACACAATTCAGAAACTTCTAGGAAGTGGAATTGGGGACTGTTGTGATAACTTGGTAATTACACTAAGGGTAGTTCAGAAAAAGGAAAATTAGCTAAGGATTGCTAAGCAAAAATGAAAATTCACAAAGGGGCAAAATGCAAAAAAAAACTAAAACCTAAAAGTTGTCCTACTTACTTTCCTATAAAGGCATGCTTTCTTGCATTTGAAGGGGGATGGAAGAAATTCAGAGAAAAAAATACTTGGAAATTGAAACAGTTGGCTTTTCTTTCTGGATTTTCTGCATTATCTGTGGAAACTGAAAATTCTGCTTGTAATTTGGGATTTCTAATTCTAATATGGCATAAAACGCTTGGGAATCTGTATTNAAAAACTAAAACCTGAAAGCTGCCCTACTTCCTTGCCTATAAAGGCATGCTTTCTTGCATTTGAAGGGGGATGGAAGAAATTCAGAGAAAAAAATACTTGGAAATTGAAATAGCTGGCTTTTCTTTCTGGATTTTCTGCATTATCTGTGGAAATTGAAAATTCTGCTTGTAATTTTGGGATTTCTGATTCTAATATGGCATAAAACTCTTGGGAATTTGTATTCTTCTTGCTGGGATAGAGAATTGGTTTGAGTAATTGAGCTGGTTTTAAAATGGATATTGGGAAATCACTATTCCATTGCTTTTCCCCATTGATTTCTGCTATTTCTTGCTCGGCTGCGGCTACTGCTTCCTCACCTTTGTTTTCGCTGTCAATCCCCAGGTACTTTTCCTAAATTCTATTGGATGTAAGTCTCAATTTGAAGATGAAGTAAAAGTTGAAAGCATGACTATAGATTCCCTTGTGTTCATTTCTACTTCTCCATGATGTCTGTGATCTATACCACATGAGTCATTATGTATTTAATTAGATTTTTAAGTCTGTATTTGTTTAAGGACTGTTAAAACATTGTGTTTAGAAGTTCAGTCAAGTTTAATGTATTTTAGATCTGTTAGCTCTAAATAGCATAAACCGACGTGCTTGGTAACAGTTCCATGGTTGAATCGATGTAGAAAGGCTAAGGGCAAAACGTGGATGCTGGAATATTAGTAGAGTTCGGTGACTTGTTTCAATATGATGGTGTTGTTTTGTTCATGAGAAGTATGGTGGGTGCATGCATCAGGTAGTTAATGTTTTGTTTAAATTAGGTTTAAAGTTATATTTAGCGTATGGAGGATGAATTCAAGTAAGCTGTGATGTGAATCATGATTCTTTAATTAATGTTTTCTAGGATTTTTAGCTTCTGGGGTATAAATGAATATCATACGCATGTGGTTAATTTAAAATGACCTGGGAATGGGTTTCTGTCAATTTCAATCGTGGCTTCAACACCTAGCAATTGTAGGTTTAACTTTGATCATTATTCAATACCAAGTTTCGGATCTGTGATGTTTAAATCCCTCTGTTTTGTTTAAGAAAGTTGGACGTTTTCTGCTGTAATTTGGGGTTGACGCGCGAAACCCATTGATACCCAGCTTGTACATGATTGGTAAGTTGGGCTTCCACATGGGCTCATTGAAATTTGCTGTGGAGATTCACTCTTTGCAGCTTATGGATTTAGTAATTGTTGGGCCTCACATCAGACCGGGCCCAGATGAGAAACAAATTAAAAGCTTTGGTCCATTTAAATTCATAGTTTAGATTCAGCTTAATCTAGGAATAGTTGCTAGCCCTTAAGTTTTTTTAGTTGGTAAGCCCTTTAGATAATTTGAGGCGAGCTATTAGCCAAGTCATAATTTATGGCCCTCATGAGCTAATTTAGAAACTTGGTTAGAATGATTCGAGGTGTGCCGTGCCAAACAAAATGACAATTGCACGTCCCTCGTTTTAATCAATCTTGTTTAGTCCTTAGGAGTCGAGGCGTGCCATTTAGAGAAATTTCCATGGCCCTCGCAAAGTTGCAAACTCGTAGTTGCTTTAGGCGCGCTATTTTAATAATTTACCTTCCTAAACTCGGGTGCGCATTTATGCGACCCAAATCCAAATCTCAACAATGTTATATAGAATGTGTTGCGGATCGGGGGTGCATTTATGTGACGTGGTTCAAGACATATTTTAAATGACGTCGCAAATTTTCTTTTAAAAATGAATAAAGCGGTTAAATTAAAATTGTACCATAGGCTAAAACATATATTAGAATCATATAATAGGCCAATTATAATAGTTGAGTGACCATGCTAGAACCACGGAACCCGAGAAGGTGTTATTCTCCCGGGTTAACAGAATTCCTTACCCGGATTTCTGTGTTCGCGGACTGTAGAACAGAGACAATCTTTCCTCGATTCGGGATTTAAAATCGGCGACTTGGGACACCAAAAAATTATCCCAAGTGGCGACTCTAAATTTTAAATAAAATAACCCCGTTTCGGTTGTCACTTTAAGTTGGAAAAAACTCCTTTATACTCCCTCTCNACCCTTCTCTTCTCATCTTCGAGGATGTGCTCGCTGGTCGAGACTCCCTATTCTGTTAGCGTCATACCTTGAAATAAGAAAGAGGGTTGGACAAGTTACTAAGCCGGATGCCCTTTTGGTTCCCGGTACGTAGCCTCCTCCTCGGCTCGAGTTGTCCGCTCGGGTACACAAGTCTAGCACAAATACCCAGGTTTTCAACCTAGAATAACTCAGCCTCATGCCGGATCCCTAGTAGGAACGTTTGTTTGCATCATGTGCATTTGACTTTGGAGACTCAACACAGGGGTTGGGTCTGTCTAGGACAAGTGTACCCAAAACGAAAAGACCATCCTGATGCATCTTACTTGCTACTTGTGCATTCATTTGCTTCGGATTTGCATGTTGACTAGTTTATAGGGAAATTTAGAGAAAATTAATGAGGTGGTTGAGAGGGATAAAGGCCTGTTGTGAAAAACCGATGTCCCTAAACATACCGAAACTCTGCCAAAATTCCGAAAAAAGAAGAAGAAATTTTGTGGTTTTTAAATAAAAGAAAAAAGGGGA